CGAGGACAACCGCCTCGAGATCGGCGGCACGGAGATGATCAACAGCGGCTTTTATTTGGTGCGAAACAACCATGCGGCGCGTGACCTATTGCAGCGCTGGATGGACGCTATCAACCGCGAGCCAGTCACGAGCAAGAAGATGATCAGCGATCAGGAGTTCTTGAATCGGCTGCTGCGAGGTGAGGCGTCCCCGCCGTCGCTGGCGCAAAAATGGGCCTACTTTGACTCTTCGAATGTGACCGCAACGATGGATTTGGCGGTACAGCCCAGCGCCATCGCATTCCATCCCGTGGGCAGGCAGACGGTTGGCTCTGACGCTGTCGAGATGCTCAACGCCGACCGAAAGCTCGCGGCCATGCGCCAGCTCTACGCGAGGCGGCGTCTCGCCGCCAACGACCCGTCCATGGCCACACGATGGCGCGCCCGCCCCGTGCCGGCACGATGGCGCGCCGCCCCGCCGCTCAAGCAGCCCCTCGTTGGCTCTGGCTGGAGGCCAAAAGAGTGAGATCCTGTTCATAGGTGCCCGTCATGCGAGCCGGGGTTCGCCAGCGGGGCGGCACGCCCAAGGCCTCAACGCATATAATCCTCTCTCTCTCTCTCCAGGTTCTCGAGGACTTGGGTAGATAGAGCGAGAGAGGAGATCGTGGTGTTACGCCTCTGAGTCAGTGCACGGACTTGGCCCCCTTCCAAAATCGACATGCCGTGCACGGGGCTTGGGGACACCTTCTGAAAAGTACTGACCCCTGGCTGTCAGGCTGTCAGGTGCTGTCAGGTGATCTGTCGGGCTGTCGCGGGGCAGCTGTCACGAAGCTGTCACGTTAGGGCCTGACAGCGACGGAGCCCCTCGACTGTCAGACTCTGCTGTCAGGCTGTCAGATACGTGCTGTCAGGCTGTCAGAGAAAGTGCTGTCAGCGCTGTCAGGCTGTCGTGCACTGTCAGGCGCTGTCCGGGGTTTGCTGTCAGGCTGTCAGACAAGAGGGCTCAGGAAAAGTAAAACACTGCCCGATGGGGAGGAACGGGGCGGACTACGGCTCTACGGGGATCGGCTGCTTACACACCGCCCTCTTCCCTGCAGCGAGCCCCCTCCAACCAGCCTCCAAGCAACCCACCCGCGCTAGGTCTCGGGGGGCGCAGGGGTTGATAGTCACTCCTCGAGTCACTCCCCGCGCGCGACCTCGGAAACTAGCCGGGGCAGTCGGTGGGAGAGAAGGGGCAGGCTCCGTGCACTGACGGTCGGCCGTCAGAAAACACGCCTGCGTGGATCGCGTCACACCAATCCTCGCTACCCAACGCGCCCAACGGATATCCCCCTCGAGAACCGAGAGAACACCAGCTGAAAAAAAATCGCAGCCCGAGATCGCCCGAGATCGCGCGATTTTCCGCAGCAAAACAAAACAAATCTCTCTCTCTCTCTCTCTCTCTCTCTCTCTCTCTCTCTCTCTCTCTCTCTCTCTCTCTCTCTCTCTCTCTCTCTCTCTCTCTCTCTCTCTCTCTCTCTCTCCGCAGCACCTCGGCCGGCACTCGGCGAGGTGGATGGGGTGGGGCGTGGGGGCGAGGGGGCGAAAGTGCTCAGTGCGGATTGTGCGGTAGATGGTGAGCTCGGGGCGCGTGAGCCGGACTTGGGGGCCGGTCGGCTTTCATTTCTCTCTGCGTTCTCGTGAGTGAGCGAGTGAGTCACACGTCACACACACACACACACACACACTGCGTTCTCGCACATGGATGGAGTGAGTGTGCGGTCGGTATCTCGACCCCAAACTGTCACTCCCCTCTCCCCTCTCTCCCGGCCGGGGTGGGGCGCGCGCGGGGGCGGCGGGTGGGCGGGATGTCTGTGGGGGCCCGAGAGCGATGTGCCACGAGTGTGTCCTGTTCAACATCGAAAGCTCTCAAAAAAAACAGTGTGTGAATGTTATAAACACGGACTAACTAAGAGTTTATAAACACACCTGGTTCACGACTATTTAAGACTATTTAACAGGATCGCCCGCTCCCGCGTGAAGTTCAATTAAACGCGCGTTTATTTGAACTGATAAACCTCGTTCATAAACTCAATAAACAGGGCCCTGTTCGCGCGTCCCTCTTCGATCGGTCGCTCGTCCCTGTTCACGCATTAACTCTTGTCTTTCGGAGGGACGGACGCTGGACCAGCTGGGGGGACGAAACCTGAATTCTATTCCCTCGGGCCGGGCCGCGGCTGCCGAGAGGAGGTCATGATACCCAGGCAGATCATCCGCTGCCGGCCGCGCGAGCCCGGCAGCACGAAGACGCTGCATCAGAATGGGAAGGGTGTCCCTATTGCCGTGAATGCAGAGCCTTAATTTTGGCATTGAGATTTGGAATCGGAATCGCGAGAATCGCGAATGGCAGACGCGCCTGGCTCGCCAGCGGCACGACCCCTTCACGCCGTCGAACGTCGGACCCAACACGCCAGGCAAGCGCGCGCCGACAGCCGCGATCTGGACGGAGAAGCAGTTCCTGCGCCTGCTGCCGGGCGGGCGGCGCAGCGCGCCGCTCATCGCCAAGGGCTTCACGCACGTCTGCGTGCTGCGGCGCGACTCGGACGGCAAGCCGTGCAACACGCCGCTGAAGCTGACCAAGAACAAGCTCGGCGGCACCTGGCTCTCCACCAAGGCGCTCGCACACGTCAGGATCATGAAGTACCGCAAGATCTACCGCGAGCAGCTCAACGAGCAGTTCCAGCACACCGTGGTGCGCGACACGCCGCCCAGCCTCACCGAGCAGGAGACGGCCAAAGGGCTCAAGGAGATGATCGACGCGGGCTTCTCGCCGGCTGAGCTGGGCATGGACCTGTCGACGCGGCGCAGGCCTACCGCATGGCGCTGATGGCGCAGAACAAGTCCAAGGGTGCGGGCTCCTCCTCCTCGGCCGTGGATGTGGACGCGGACTGAAAGAGGTGGCGGCGGCGGGGGGGGGGGGGGTCCTGATTGGGAAAAGTTCCCCCACGTTCGCGTATGATTCCCAGGCGCGACAGGAGTCCCTGCTCCGTATACACACGGACACGCGCGCGAGGTATGGTTGTGCGCCGTTTTTTCGAGAGTTTCTGCTTAACACAACAAAAAAAGTTTATGAACGATGTAAATTGTTTGTTTAGTTCATTTATCGGGGCGGTCGCCAGCGGCGCGGTGTTCAATTAAACACGGGTTCATAAACACCGTGTTTATAAACACCAAAAGCCCGCCCTGCCCGCCCGCTCGTAAGGGGTCTTCACCTTCACACTGGTCTGGCCACGGGCGGGCAATCTTCCCGTCGAAGGTCAAGCGGTCTCAACTTCGCGCTCTACTGCCCGCCCTCGCCCTCGCCTACCGCCTCCCGCCTCCGCCTGCCGACCCGCCGCCAGCTCGTCCGCCAACCCGTCGTCTCTGTCGCCTCTCGCCCGCCCACCATCGCCCTCGCCTTTCACCTCCCGCCGCCTCCCGCCGACCGCCACGCCAGCTTGCCTGCCGCCCTGTCGTCTCGCCTGTCGCCTGCCCGCCCTCGCCGCCTCTCGCCGACCACCACGCCAGCTTGGCCGCCGCCCTGTCGTCTCGCCTGTCGCCCGCCCGCCCTCGCCCTCGCCCCCTCCTCCTGCCACCACCCTCGCCTCACCCTCCCGCCGCCTCGCCGCTCGCTCGCTCGCTCGCTCGCTCGCCCGCTCGCCTGGCTTTCTACTTCTTCGTGATCGCCCGAATCTCTCCTTCCTCGTGATCCACCCTCGCCTCTCCCGCCGCCTCGCTGCTCGCTCGCCGCTTGCTCGCCCGCCCGACTTTCTACTTCCTCGTGATCCGAACCGCCACCACCCTCGCCTCACCCTCCCGCCGCCTCGCCGCTCTCGCTCGCCGTTCGCTCGCCCGCTCCCGACTTTCTACTTCCTCGTGATCCGAACCGCCACCACCCTCGCCTCACCCTCCCGCCGCCTCGCCGCTCTCGCTGGCTGTTCGCTCGCCCGCTCCCGACTTTCTACTTCCTCGTGACCCATCTCGCCGCTCGCTCGCTCGCTCGTGCTCGACCTCCTACTTCCTCGTGATCCACCGCCGCCACCCTCGCCTCGCCCTCCCGCCGCCTAGCCGCTCGTCTGCCGCTCGCTCGCACGTTCGCGCTCGACCTTCTACTTCCTCGTGATCAACCCGCCGCCACCCTCACCCCCGCCGCCTAGCCGCTCGCTCGCCGTTCGCTCACCCGCTCGCGCCAGACCTTCTACCTCCTCGTGATCCACCCGCCGCCACCCTCGCCTCGCCCTCCCGCCACCTAGCCGCTCGCTCGCTCCTATCCGTGCCACGCCTATCCGTGATCCTGCCGTTACCGCGCCGTCCTTGCTCCTCCCTGCCGTGCCGCTCCTTCCTCCGTGCCGCGCCGCCCTTGCCGTTTAGCCCGCCGCCCCCCCTGCCGTCCGTTACCGCCGTGCCGCCGTACCGCCGCTCCTACAGTGCCACGCCCCGTGCCGTTTGTCCCGCCGTCCGATGCCCTGCCTGCCGTCTGTTGCCGCCGCGCCGCCTTACCGCTGCCCCTTGCAGTGCCGCGCCGCCTTTACACACACACCTGACCTCACTTCCTGCTTCGACGGGGTTTGTGTTGAGGAGTGACCCGTGCCGCCGTGTGCCCCGCCAGCGGCCTCGCTGGGCCAGAAAGTCGGCCCCGAGTGCCAGCAGCAGCCTCGTTGAGCCAGAACGTCGGCTCGCGAGGTGGGTGCTAGTATGAGCCCGATCCGTCGCAGTGCTCTTGCAGAGGCGGTTAGTGGTGCACTAACCCCGAGAAACCCTTCGGTTCACTCCTCATCGCAAACCTTGTCAGCAGTCCTCCTCCGGGAATGTACGTTAGAGCCACATACCAAAAAAAAAGTTTATAAACCCTGTTGAACTTCACACACTGAAAAAAAAAAGCTGCACGCGACCAGAAGGAGCGGCCGCCCGGCGGCAGCAGGCGGCTGACGAGCGACGCATAACAGGCTTGCGAGCACGTCGGTATCCACCCAGGTCGTACAAGGCGCAAACGCCGGCAAAGAATGCTCCTACTGATCGTGTCCAATGCGCCAGCCTTTGCCGTGGCGAGCCGTGTGCGCGATGTTTTCCCGTCACCTGACTTGACCGCGGAGCAGGTGATTGAGACGCACTTACAGGCTTTACAAGCGGGCGATAATCGGCGAATCTACCGCTTCTCCAGCCCAGAGAATAAGCGTTTGCTGGGCGTACCGCATTTCGAAGACGAGCGAGTCTGGCGGCAACCGCCTGAGTACGAGACGCTCCCCACATACAGGCCGCTCGTGCGGTGCGCGCGATTTGCCATCCTCGGCGCGCTTCCGCTTGACGCTGGGCTGAGCGCTCTCAGCCGCGAGCTGTTCCGTGTCCGGTGCTGGCCCACGGCGAGCGGCCGGGCGAGCCTCGGCGGGATGAGCTTTGCACTCGCGGGCCGACCTGTGGAGTTCGACTTCTTACTCGCGAGACAGCCCTTTACTCGCCCCGCGTGTTACGAGGACGACCCTATGCAGGGCGGCTGGTCAGCGGAGCCTCCCGGCGCAGGCTGCTGGATGGTCCATCACGTGACGCGCTTGGACGATCGCGACTTCGGCAGCGAGGACGAGGATGGCGGTGACGGCGACGGCGGGCCGGGAATAGCGCTAAAAGTGCCCGCCACCGCTGCCATTGCGCCATATCGCGAGCAACCCGTCGTCTCAGCAGTATGATACTGATAGCTGTGTGCGTGCGTGCGTGCGTGCGTGCGTGCGTGCGTGCGTGCGTGCGTGTGTGTGTGTGTGTGTGTGTGTGTGTGTGCGTGTGACGACTGTGTGCGCGCACACCGATAAAAAAGACACAACCGGTCCAGCCATCGATGTCGGACAGAGAGCCTCAGGCTCAGCGACGTCAGAGCGAGAGGCGAGACGCCAAAAGCGCGGCGCGCGAGCCGCGACGCGGCGCGAGCCGCAGCCGGGCCGCGGCCGGCGCCGGGCGGCCCCCGCCGGCCGCGGCGCCCGCGCGCGGCGAGCTGTGGCGAGCTTTCATTTATCGCATATCGCGGTATCTCGATTCCTTTTCTCCATCTCGTTTGGAGAATACAGAATTTTCTTCGGTAACCAAGCTTCGGCTTTGGAAAGCCGACCGACACTCGACAACACCGCGTAGCTACAGCTACCCTCAAGCTCCTTGCGGACCAGTTTGACCTGACTCAACTAAATATCCACTCTCTCTACGTACATGCACCGGGGCGTGCAAGAGGACTTCCCGTTGAACTCCCGTCTCGCAGCCTCTGCGTCTCGACCCCCAGCGGCTGCCGCGCCTCGACGTTGTTGTGAGCCGCGCGCGGAGGAGGCAATCGCAATGGGGCCTCAGCGGCGGGACCGCTTGGTCGGCCGGGCCGCGGTCGCCTCATCAAACAGGGCGTCGGCCTCGTTTGCGGCGCCTTCCTCGTAGCCGGCGCGGCGCGTGGCGTCCGCCTGCCACTCGGAGCCCGTGCCGAGCACCTCGACCTCGAGCTCGACGCCGAGCGAGCGGCCCTGCCGCACGGCGTTCTTTTGAAAGTGCTTTTTGCCGACCAGCGCGCTGCGAGCAGGGGAGAGCGGTGTGGAGATGGCCGCGCGGGCGTGCAGCGAGGCTTGAGAAGGGGGGGAGGGGAGGGGAGGGGGACGGGGGGCGCGCCTCGGCTCCACCGCAGTCCGCTTGCCCACCACGTCGGCAGCCACGCTCGGCATCTTGGGGTCCGTGCCGCTGGCCGCGCCGCCGGGCCTCGAGAAGAAGTCGTTCACACCTGGGTGGCGAGGGGAGGGGAGAGGGCCTCTGGGGCTGGCGGGGCGGGCTCGCGCGCAAGAAGCGTCGAGAGAGGGGCAGGGCGTGGGGAGAGGGGAGAGGGGCGGGGGGCAGGGGCGGAGTCGGAGGGGAGGGGAGAAGGCCTTGGGGGGGCGGGGGGGGGGGAAAGCGCCCAGGGGAGCAGCTACGAGGCAGCGGGCTACGCAGCTCTCCCAACGCGTGGCACATCTCCCCATATCTCCCCGTATCTCGCCCACCTCCCGGCGCGTGAGCCCGCACGCGCCACACTCCGCCCGGCAGCCTCGCGGGCCTGTCCGCCCCCTCGCCGCCCTCCTCCTCCTTGCGCGGCGCGACTGCACTGTCGACCACCTCGTCGTAGACTGCAGCCTACTCACGCAACCACCACGCGCCTCGCTCGCCGCTGGCTCGCCCCCGGCTGCCGCGCTCTCCCCGGCAGCGCGGCCGCCTCGACCTAGACCCGCAATACCGCACCCTCACGAGGAGCGAATCCCAACCCTCCGCCGCCGCCGCTCCAATTCTGGCACCGGCGTCGGAATCTGCGTCTCCGCAGGCCCCGCCTCCTCCGTCGGCGCAGCAGCAGTGGGCGACACCCGCGTGGAGACGGGCGTCATGTCGCGCAGGAAGGCTTGGCCGCCTCCGCCTCCGCCCCCTCCGCCGCTGCCGCCTCCGATGGCCGGGGAGGCGGCAGCAGCCGCAGAGGCAGCAGCCGCAGAGGCGGGGTCGGGGGCGGGTCTGGGGGCCGGCGGCGGCTTGGCGGGCGGCTTGGAGGCTGGCTTGGCGGCTGCAGGCGGCGCGGCGGCGGCGGGCGGCGGTGCGGGGGTGGGGAGGGGCTGGAAGTGGTCGAGGGAGGCGTGGAGCAAGACGAGGCGGACGAGGCCGGCGTTGAAGGCGCGGCCGCCCGCCGCGGCGAGGTCCGCCAGGGTGCTCTCCGCGCTCACGCCCTCGGGCATCACAAACCTGCCACGCGGGGAGGGGAGACGGCTCCACGCCACCCGACCCGCTCCCCTGTCCGCCCCCCCCCCCCTCCCCTCCCCCCCTCCCCTAGGCCCTCCCCCTAGCCCCGGCGGGAGTGCGCAGACTCGAAGCCGGCAGAGACGTGCGACGAGAGCGAGGCGGCATCGGCCTGGTCCGCCTCGACCACCTCGGCGCCCATGAGCGAGAGCAGCGACACCGTGTGCCCTCGGCTCGACGCCTCCCCGCCAGGCAGCACCGCCAGCTTCCTGCCTCGGAAGAGGCTCCTCCTCTCGGGACGGACGGCGTGGCAGCCGGCCGGGATGTCCGGCTGGGTCGCGTCGGTGGGGGAGCAGCCCACGGCGCTCGGGTCAGGCAGCGGCTCGGCGGCGGCCTTGCGCGCGGCCACCCGCTCCACCCAGGCAGGCGCGACCACCGGGCAGCCGTGCGCGAGCGCCAGCATCAGCTTTGGCGTCAGCTTGATCTTGGACATGACGAGGTGGGAGGTGTGGCCGTCGGCCCACTCCTTGCTCGCGCTCACGCCGACGAGCCGCGCGGCTGCGGCCTGCACCACCTCGGTGTCCGCCTTGGACAGCCCCGAGTAGCAGAGCACGAGCGGCTCGTGCCGCACCGTCAGCACCTTTGCGCCGAGCGAGAGCGAGGCCCCGTCGACGAGGCTGGCCGTCCCGCCTGGGTCAACCTTGGAGTTGTCCACGGAGGTGCCAAACTTGGAGCCGAGGTCGGTCAGCCTGAGGGTGCGGCCGTCCTCGCCCACACGCAGCTCCAGGTGCTTGCGCGATATGGACTTGTCGCCGGTGACGGTGACGTCGGCCGACTCGTGCCGCCCGACGGTGTACGGGCCCTCGCTGCCCGGCACGGGAAGGCGGCCCAAGGTCTGCGACCCGTCCGCGATGAGCCACATGGATTGCGCCTCCTGGCGCCAAGCGGCCCAAGCCGAAAAAGAATTTGCGGGGTGAAAAATTGGGCTTAAGTTTTTCGCATCACAGTTTTTCGCATCACTTCATAGGGGAAGCAAAAAAATCGAAAGGCTCTGTACGTTGGTACATGCTACACACATGCACGTAGTGTATGCCATGGAGTACATGTCGATGTAGACTTGTTCAATCCTCTCGGTGGAGCTCTCTCTCACCTCAGTCGAGCTGCAGCCCCGCTGGAACGCGATCGCCCCACGCGGAGGTGAGCACGGCTTTTGAGGCGTCGTCGAGCCCGTTGCCCGACAAGACGACCTCGGTCAGCAACAAGTTGGTGGTGAGCGCCCTTGCGAGGTGGTGAGCACCCTCCGCTCCCAGCGCGTTGTCGCCGAGGTTGAGGCTGGTGAGGACGCGGTTGTCGGCGAGGGCGCGCGCCACGTGCATCGCGGCCTCTGGCCCGATCTTTCCGCCGGCGACCTTGCCGCCGCCGCTCGTGTCGCTCAAGTCCAGGTCGAGAAGAAAGTCGTTGTCCGGCCCGAGCCGCTCGGCGGCGCGCGCTCCCCACCCGCCTTGCGCGCGCAGCCATGCGAGCGACGCCTCCACAGAACCCTCCGCCGGAGGGGCGTCGCCAGCCGCGCTCACGACCGGCAAATAGATCCCGTCCACGACGTGGACAGGCCCTCCGTGCGTGCGCCCGAAGTAGGTGCCCGCAGGGATCGTCTCGGCCGACGCCTCCGCAGGGCCCGCAGCCTCTGCTTGCGTCGCGGTGGGCTTCGCCGAGGCTGCGTGCTCCTTGAGCACGGCGGCGACGGCGCCGATGGTCTCGCCTGCCGCGCGTGCCTGACGCGCGTATTCGGACATCGACATGCGACCTGCCGCCAGGTCGGCCCGCATCTGGAGCGCCGCCGCGCTTGCCTCGCTCGCCATATCACACGAATCGCACGTCCTCGAAAAACGCAAAGGCGAACAGCGTGAATTCAAGAATTCAATCGCGGTAACGGAGGGGCACAGCTCGTTTATCACCTTTCTTCGTGGGACCCAGCGGCTTCCAATTTTACTCGACTGTCGTGTGCGCGCTTTGGGGCGTGGGGCGTGGGGCTGGGTGGGGTAGGCGTAGGGCGTGGGGCGTGGGGCGTGGGGCGTGCGGCGGGGCCTGGGGCGGTTGCCTGATGGCGTGGTGGTGGACGCATGAGTTTGCGATGAGTTTGCGAAACGGCCGACACCGCGATCCGTGGGCCTCGAGCCCGCCAGCGCCTATGGATGAGGCCCGCAAGGCGGCTATGGCGCGAGCGAATGCCGCTGCTCTGAGCAGGGCTCTGAACTCGACTGGCAGCAGGGGCCGGAGGGCGCCTCAGCGGGGCGGCCACGTGGCCCGAGGCGCACGCGGACGGTCTCAGCTCCCACAGCCTCAGCACCGACAGCAGCCGCAGCAGCCCCAGCCGCCACCACCGCAGCAGCCTAAACCACCGCATCAGTCCCAGGAGTCACAGCTGCCGCTGACACGGCCTCCGCCCGAGACCCGGCAGCCACCGCGGCCGTCGCAGCTGCCACGTCCACCTCAGCCGACTCGGTCTCAGCCGGCACCTCCATCACCAACGTCACAGCCCCCGTACCCACAGCCAGCACAGCCGACACCATCGACACAGTCGCCACAGCCACCACCGGCATTGCAGCCGCCGCCGCCGCAGCAGCCTCCTCACCTGCAGCCGCCACCGCAGCTGCCACCACAGCCGCCACCACAGCCGCCGTTGCAGCAATCTCAACCCAGGCAAGGAAAAGGTGGGCCGCGGAGACGCCAACAGCCGTCGGGCCCGGCTAGCGAGCCCCACGAGGCTGGCTTCTCCTCCGCCGGCCCGAGCAGCAGCCGTGGCCCGAGGCCGGCCGAGTTGGAGGGCAGCAGCCGCACCGCCGCGGTCAGCCTTCCGCGGATCCACCCGGCTGCCCAGAGCGGAATGGTGCAGACGTCAGCGCCCATGCCACAGGCAAGGCAGCTCGCTCAGACGTCCCCAATACGCACGCAGAACAGGTGGCTTTGGCATGGCGCAGAGGTAGACCGGGAGCCGGTTCGCAACCCGGCGGCGGGTGATGCATGGGCTGGTGCGAGGCCCGTGGCGCAAGCGGCCACGTCGCACGCTGGCCTGCGGGGGCGACTTCCGCTCAGCTCCGCCGTCCATGCGCACGCTCACCACCACGCGAGCAGGGACTTGCCGACCCGTGCGCCGTGGGACCCTTCACAAGAGGTGCTGCCCCTCCGCTCCCGCACCAAGCTCGAGGCAAACCGGCGGCCGCCAGCGATCCAGCTTCCTGGCCAGCTGCCGGCAGCCGGGGAGCAGGCGATGGGGCGCAAGCTTCCGTCGCCCTTCAAGCTCGGTGCCCCAGCGTCATGGCGGGCGCCGGCTGTGAGCACAGCCACCGTTTCGCTGACGTCGAATCCGTCGTTCCACGCCGCCATGGATCGCTCCGCAAATGGCGGATCCGCAGCCTCTTCGTCGCAGACGTCACTCTGCCGCTCAGCGGCCGACAGCGATGCGTCGAGAGAGCCGGCCCTTCACCAGACGTGTCGCTCTCCTTCACCGGTTGCCCGACGCTCGGCGCACCACAGCGGCAAGAGCGCAACATCGCCTTTCTCGGAGGATGCATCGCACTTGCCGCTCTCACCAACGGCAATGCGTAAGCAACTTCACTCGCGTGAGCTCTCGGCGCCCACGGCGTCGGGCATGAGCCGACCACCGAAGGTCGCCATCAAGCTGGCCAACCAGAACCACGCTGCTCCGAGGCCCGAGAGGGCTGCGCCTGCGGCGGAGAACGAGCCGGCGTCAGAGGCCGCCACCAAAGCAATTGAGAGCGAGCCGAAGGTCGAGGCCGACGCGCAAGGAGGCGGCGAGGGCAGCGATGCTGGTGCTTCTTCCGCAGACGCCGCAGTAGTCGCAAAGGACGTCAAGGCTGTGGACGAGGGGGGCGATGCTTCCGCCCTCAAAACACTCGTCTCCGAGCATTTGCAGAGCCCACCCGCCGGCACTCTGCAGCAGAGGGCCGACGAGGCGCTGATGCTGCTGCGATGCGGCTGGGATGGACCGCGGCCAGTCGAATCAGCTAGCGAATGCGTCGTTCGCTCGCTCACCTTTTGTACCGCGCTTGCTCGGCTGGCCCTACAGCAGGGCTGTCGGCAGGGCGCGCTTTTTCAGGCGTTGACCGCCCACTTTGCGGCCATGGCCCGAGAAACCCCGGCAGTCGAGGTGGCGGCCGAAGCCGAGGAAGGGGCAACAGAGGGCCAGGCTTCACCCACGCCGGGCGAGGACGCGGGCGAGGACGCCGAGAGTGTGAGCGAACCGGGAAGTGGGGCGCATGCGCGGCGAGAGCTTACACAACGCTCCGCAGAGGGCTCTCGGCCGACTGCCGAGGATGGACCTCTGCGGGGAATTGGAGGCGTGGAGCTGCTCATGTGCTCCGGGGCCGCCGCGGAGCTGCGAAAGACGCTCCGCATCAAAATCGAGGACGACAAGGACCTCGAGACGGCGCGGCGAGCGTTTGCTGAATGCGGCCACTTCCTGCTCCTGCTCAAGGAGGAGGCGACCGCGCGTGCCCTTCCAGAGGACGAACTGCTTCGCCTGCTTGAGGCCGGAGAGGGATAGCTCTGCACCTGTCGGTCTGCTCTGTCTCTGAGTCGTGACGTTTTTAAACATTACGCGTGTGTTTTGGTAACGTACCTCGAGGTATGTGTTTTCCCGCATGTGCACTTCAGAGCATCGAACCCCCCGGACCTCCCACGGAGGGCTGAACCTTCCCCCTCCCAGCATCCGATGACGCCTTCTTGTAGTAGTCGGCGCTCTTGCCTGCCTCCTCCTCAGCAGCGTCCACGCCAAGTGCCTCTCGCATCGAGTCGGAGAGGTAGATTGGTGGTGAGTTGAGATCCATGTCCTGGAAGGCGCAGAGGTAAACCGTGTCGAGAATCGCCTCGAAGACGTTGGAGATGCCTCCTGCGACGAAGAAAGCGAGGACAAAAACGGTCCCAGCAGGGTAGAGCGGCGTGTGCTTCTCGGTGAAATCTTCTTGCCCGTCGAGATAGAGGAACGTTGCAACCGCAGCGATGCAAGGGGTGGATAGGCCGAGCAAGACACCGCACAGCAGCCTCTTGACGAGATTGTTCACGGCGGTCTGCGCCGGGTACTTGATGATGAGTCCAAAGGTATCCTTGCACGCGACGCAGAAGCAGGTGCCGTCGATCGCAATGTTGACGTAGGCGTAATACGACACGAACTCGATGGACTTCTCGAGGCACCAGAGCGCACACATGGCGCAGCGGAAGGCCATCTTGACGAGGCAGTTGCCGTCCGCTCCAGCCTACCCGGGTACCACCAAAAGAGTCGGGCTCAGAAGGAAGGGTGCTGAGCTTTGTGTGGCAGGGGAGAGGCTGCGCAGCCTGCTTGGTTGCGGAGTGGATGGAGTGCAGCGCAAGCCGTATAAGTTGGCATATTGTGATGGTCGCCGCTCCAAACGCGAGCGAACCAAGGTGGCGAGAAGATACGGTCCATGCTGCATCGAGCAGCTTGGGGACGCCGCAAAACGCAACCCACCCCTTGCAGCACTTTTCCGCGCCGCAGCATCCATCGTTCTGCGCGTTGGTGGTCACAAACCAGTAGGCAACGGCGGCAGACATGGTCGTGTAGTCGCAAGCGTGGATGAATTGGATCATCCAGAGGGTGCCGGCGACCTGGCAAACCGCAAAGAGCGCCGTCAGCGAGTCGCCCCCCCAGACGGACGGGTGACATATGACCGCGAGTGCAAAGATACCGTAGACGAGGGCGCCAATCAAAAAGGTCAGCTCGACGAACGGCCACACCATCAAGGCAGGTAGCGTCGAGAAGACTTTAGTCGCCTCCTCCGTGATGGCGATGGTGCGCACGATGGCCTTGTAGGAAAAGCAAATCCAGAGCAGCAGCATCAGGGTCACTGCGAGAGCCACCACGGCGAGAAATCCGTAGAGGTCCTCGTTTGAAGCGGACGAATCGCCGCCGAGGAGCGCCACCTCGGCACCGGAACCGGAGAGGACAGCAGTCGAGTTGGCTGGGCCGACGAGCCAAGAGGGTAGGACAATCCAACCAGCGTGCGCGCAGAGGAGAAAGTCGAGGAAGCACATGCCAAGGATCAGGAGCGTAACCAACAGCCAGATGACTAAGCCCGCCAGAAAGTAGAGGAGCATCGCGTAGACGAAGCCCAGGAGCACAGGCATGGCCACGCCGAGCACAAGGACGGTCGACAGAGAGTCGAAGACCGACTCAGCAAACGCGAGTGTGAGCGCCACGTACGACGCGAGCTTTCGCGTGAGCGCATCGGTCTCGTCGTCGCCGTCGGCAGAGCGGAATGTCTGAGCGGTGTCAACGCGCACTTTCGCTTCGCAAGCCTCCTTCTGTGCGTCGGTGAGCACCTCGCGGGCCTCACCCCCTCCGCCGTGGCTGGCGGCGGCGGCGCTCATGCACAGTGCAGTCGTGCGAACAGAGGGGGCAATCCTAGGGGCAGAGGAGAGGTAAGAGCTCCGTGAGAGAGGGAGAAAGCGCGAAAGTCCGACCCAATGTCTCTCTGCTTGTGAGCGTGGTCGTCGTTTTAGTTCTTTCACCCGCGGCGACTGGGGTCTACTGTTTGCGTCCATGTGCCAAAACAGAGGCACCTACGGCAGCAGTGCAAATCGCACTGAGCCCTGGTCTGGCAGCCTGACAGCAAACCCCGGACAGCGCCTGACAGTGCCCGACAGCCTGACAGCGTTGACACTGCAGCGCACTTTCTACTGACAGAGGCTGACAGCACGTATCTGACAGCCTGACAGCAGAGCCTGACATCAGAGGCGACCCGTCGCTGTCAGGCCCTAACGTGACTGCCTTACAGCTGCCCGACAGCCCGACAGCTCACAGTGGCCTGACAGCAGCGCTGACAGCCCGACAGCCCGACCAGCCCGACAGCAGCACCTGAGCAGCACAGACCGTACACAGGCCGTGCAGCCTCTTTCTTGTGCCCCATGAGGGTATAACAAAACTATATTCATGCAAAGACATGTGAGTGTGGTCCATGTCCATGTAGTCATGGGATGGTCATGGGTCTCTCTCTTCGACTCTCTCAACCCTCCCGCCCCACCTCTGCGGACCCGCGGCTGTGCTACTACAAATGAAGCTACCAGCTAGCCTTCTGGGGCCCTACAGTCATATATGCCTATACGGCGTCTGGGTGGGGGTGGCCGCCGCCGTCTGTGCCGCCGCCTGCGCTTGCGCCTGCGCCGCCATCTGCGCTCCCCAGGCGGCCGCCGCTGCCGGCGTGATGGTGGGACCGGAGGCAGAGTAGAGACTAGAGTATGTGTAGCAGAGTCCTGCTGGTCTCCTCTTGATAGTGTCATAAGTGTGGCTGGTGTGTGTCAGAGCCTGACAGCACCCCGACAGCACCACCTGACAGCACCTGACAGCACCGGCCCTACGTTTGACAGCAGCAGCAGCCTGACAGCTCCGACAGCTCCGACAGCGTCTGCCAGCAACACCCGACAGCTCCGACAGCACCCGACAGCTACAGATCCCCTCTGATGTCAGACACGCACCCGACAGCACCCGACAGCACTGACAGCACCTGACAGCTGGTCTGACAGAGGCACCTGACAGTGCCTGACAGTGCCCGACAGCCCGACAGATCACCTGACAGCACCTGACAGCCTGACAGCCAGGGCTCAGAAATCGCAGTCTCTCGCCACCGACCTTCATGCCACTTCGCGCGGTCGTCCCACTCTCGTCGTTCTTTCTCTCTCTCCCCTGCCCCGCCATCCTCTGTGCCTCATCGCCGTCTCCTCGGCCTCGTTCTGCGACGACGCTGACGCCTGCCGAGCCCTTCTCGCGGCTTCTCTCGAACGGCTCCCGTGGTGTACCTGTGTTAGTGCCAGTGCGCGCCAGTCCAGTGCCTAGTGTCGTGCCGCGTAAAACGGCGGCAATTTTGACCGCGCAAGACAAAGGGTGGCTAAGGGCTCTGCCCGCAAGGCGCCCGCGTCGGCGACGCGGTACCATTGACTAATCCCGGAATACACACCCACACGACCAAATAGCGAAAATCCGATTACCCTGCAAAAAGAAAATTCCTTTTCGATTTCACGAAACGATCGCGGAAAAGCGGGACCGGCATCGCGACATCGGGGGTTCACCGTATATGCCGAGCCTGCTCGGCCTGCCATGCGCGCGCGCGCCTCGCCCGAGCGCAGCCACCTGCGGACCTGGCCAGCCTGTTCCTGGCTCGTGCCCAGCCTCTCCTTCCGCTGCCGCCGGCCTCGCAGTCCCGCCAGCCATCACGCTGCAGAGCCCGCGTAGACGCCACCGACGCCAATTCTGCAGCCCACAGCCCTGGCAACTGAGGGCGAGGGCCAGCAGTATACGACGACGACGACATCTCACACCCCGCGCTGGCCAGCGCCATCAGCTCCTCACGGCCCGGCCCAACCTTCCCTTCCCCACCATCGCCTCCAGTGCCTCCAATCAAGTCGCACCTCTCTTCTTCAGCGAATGCAGCGGCAGCACCACGCCAGAGGCCGGGCCGACTGGCGGACCTGCATGCATGCCCAGCCATGCCCCCCACTCCCCACCCACTTGGATCGATCAGCTGACAGCTCCACCAGCTCCCACCACCCCGCGTGTCGTGTCATGAAGCATGATAGATAGACATAGAAAGCATGAACCATCGAAAGGTCTGGTCTCCAAAAAGAGCTCTCGGCGGGCTGCGCGCGCCCGCGCCCCGCCCCTTTTTGCGCAGCAACACCTTAAATTTCATGGCCCTCCAAATTCGGGTCGGAGCGTAGGCCGTAGCGGAGTGGGCCCCGAGTTTGAAAAGGGCGACGGACGCTTGCGTCCTAGCCTCCAACAACGCCTCCCCGGCGCAGAGGGGCCCCCGGAGGGATGCACAACCGAGCTTCGATTGTTGCCTTCTTTCCCCCCCCCACTGCTGTGGCTCACGGCGCCGCCACACGTGCGTGCACACACATGCTCTCCATCACCACACCCGGCTATTTGGACGACCAGAACCGCGGCTGCATCGACTGGAGCGAGGGCCTCCTCGCCTATGGTGCGCAGCACATGGTTTGCATCGTGCAGCCGTCGACTCCGCCACAGCTGCTGCAGTGTCTCGCCGGGCACATGCACAGTGTCGCGCATGTGGCGTTCGCGCCACGTGAGACTGGCGCGCCCAGCCTCGGCGGCGAAGGCCAGGGCCCACTCCTGCTGGCTTCTGCAGACGTCACCGGAAGCGTGCACCTGTGGGATGTCTTGCGAGGCGCGCTCCTGGCGCAGCTGACGGCGCCGGCTGGCGGCGGCAGCGGGAGCGACAGCGGCAGTGGCGGCATCCTCTGCCTGCATTGGCTGCTATCGCGGCCTAACCACCTCCTGGTCGCCTCCCGCGCCGGCACGCTCGTGCTGTGGCAAGTCTCTGCCGCTGGCCGCGCCGCCACCGCCCTCTGGCAATCTTCGCTGACGGAGTCGCCCACGCTCCTCGCAATCGACCGGCACGTCGCCGACGGAGGCCGCATCGCCGTCCACACGGCGCCCTCACCCACCTTGCCCCTCCCCGCCAGCTTCTCGGCCTCCGATGCGCTCCCCCGGCGCCAGCCCGGCCCAACCCCGTCGCCAGGCGCGCGGCGCCCTCTACCAACTCTCCGTCCTCCCGTCCGAGCCACCGAGCGCTGTCGGCGCGTCCTGCTCGCTCACGCGCCACGTCTCCGCCTCCGGCGCCGCCTACTCGCCCGCCGCGGCGCTGCAGCTGCTCTACTCACCCCACCACCAGGCGCAGGTCTACGTGCTGCTGCCGCGCGAGGCTCTCGCAGCCGGCCGGGCTGCGGCCGAGCTAGGACGGGGCAGCTCCAGCCCGAGGGTGGACGCGGCGTCGCCTGTAGGTCGTGCTTGCGGATCTCGAGGCCGGGCTTCCTCTCACCTCGGCCCGCCACTGCGCCGCCCTGCCTCGAAGGCGGAGGCCGGTCGGAAGGAGGTCGTGTACCGTGTAGGTTTCGCTCGACCGGACCGACCACCCCTTCTGGCAGCTGCTCCTGCCCGCCTGCCTGCCCGGCATGCTCCTTGGGCTCCACACCGACGGGTGCCTCTCCGCCTGGCTCCGCCGCTCGGACGGAGCCTCCGCCGGAGGGCGCGGCCGCCGCGTCCACTTTTCGTACCGTTCGATGGCGCCGTTGCTCAAAGGGCCCGGCAGCGCGCTGCGTGCCGTCGCGGCCGCACCGCCCGCACACGAGGCGTTCGCGGGCATTTCTGCCGACGGCCGCTGCTGGGTCTGGTCCCTCGCCTGCGCCGGCGGCGCGGCTGCCATCCTCCCCGCCGCTCTCCCTGCGGTGGCGGCAGGCGCCGGCCATGGCGGCGACGGCGAGGAGCGCGGCGAGGGCGCGCTTGCGTCGAGCGCGGAGGACCCGTGGACGATGGCGCTCGTCGGCATCGTCCCCTCCATCTCGTCGCCGATCCGTTGTCTCGCGGTGCAGCCAGCGGCGCTCGGCTCTGAGCAAGAGGAGCCGCAACCAGCGCCCGCGCCCGCACCCGCATCGGCGGAGCCGGCTACGGCCGGCTGGACCCCGCCGCCGCCCTTGCTAGAGCCGTCGTCGGAGGCGCCGCTCCCATCGCCACCCCCATCCACAACGCCGATCTTTTCCCTTTTGGAGAGCTCACCTCCCCCGCCCCCCCCGCCCCCGCCTCCGCCTCCGCCTCCGCCTCCGCCTCCGCCGCCTCCGCTTCCGCCGCCGCCGGCAGCAGCAGCCGTGGCCCAAGCACAGCCGCCATCTCCACCCGGAGCCGCGAGCGTGCCATCGCCGCCGCCATCGCCGCCGCCCGCTGCGGTCTCCGAGACGTTCGTCGCCGTCGGCACCGAGTCGGGACACGTGTTGCTGCTCCGCCCCTCGTGCCGCACCGTCGCCTGTGAGTTTGCGCTCCACCAGAGCCCGGTCGGAGGACTGCTGTGGGCGAGCCCTTCGCTCCTCCTCTCCTTCTCGAGCAGCGGCGGCGGCAGTGGCGGCTCCTCCGCCGGCGAGGCTGGGGGCGGCACCTGGCGGAACGTCGTGCTCGCGCTCTCTCTCCCCGAGGGAGACGTGCGCGAACTCGCTCCTCCGCGTGGCTCCGAGGCGGCGCCGCTGGTCGGGCTCCGCCTCTCGCCCTCGGGCGCGCGCCTCCTCCTCCTCTACCGCGAGGCGCCGCCGCGGATGCTCGACACGCGCACCGCTGCGTCTGTCGGCGGGCACGTGCTCCCGACGCTGCCGCCCGCCTCTGCGGTCGAGTGGCTCCCCCCTCTCTCGGCTACGCCTCTCCCGGCTACGCCCGCGTCTCGCGCCTCCGCCCCGGGAGCCGCGGTAGCCTCGGCGCCCTCTCGAGGCAGCGCCGACAGCTCCACGCCGGACGCGCCGGCGGAGGCGCTGCTGCTGACGATCCCGGACGGGTCGACGGTCGAGCTCGAGGTGCGCGGCTCTCGCATCCTCGCTCGTCGCAGCGCCTCGCCGGCAGCGGTGCTCGCCCCGCCGCCTCGCGCGCCTGCCTCGGCTCGGTCCTGCCTGATTGCCAGCCCGCTGTCCTCCGCAGGTGGCGCCGGGTCTCGTCACGGCGCTCGCTCGCGGCGGCCAGTGGCTCGTCTCTGGCTCGGCAGAGGGTGCGGTCTGTTTGTGGCACGCCGCGGTGCCGGAGGCGCGCCGGCTGGTCGCCACGCACCGCGGCGTCGTGCGCGCCATCGGCTTCGACGACGCGGATCAGCCGACGCAGATGCTCCTCCTGCTCGGAGAGGGCGAGCTCACTCTCTGGCGCTTGCCCGCCGGGCCAGGCTGGGAGCTGCAGGAGCCCGCCTCGTCGGGCCGCGCGCCGGCGGGAAGGCGCCCGCTCTGCGTCGGAGATGAGGCTGAGAACGGCACCTCTTCACACCTGCAGCTGTGAACAGGCGCCCGCTCTGCGTCGGCTTCTCTGCCTCGGGGCAGCCCCTCGCCGCGTACGAGGGCGGCTGCTTCGTGCTGCTCCGACCTGGTGCGCTCGGCCCCGGCAACTGCCCCCTCGGCTCGCGCACGTCGCTGCGCACGCCGCGCTCGACGGCGCTGCTGCCGCGCCGCGCGCACGCGCAGCTGCTCACGCAGCTGATGCACTCGCCTCCTCCCGACTCCGGGGAGGCGGCCGCCGGCGCCGGGTTTGTGCACCCGCGCGTGGCGGAGTGGCTGCCGCGCGGGGCGCAGCAGCGGCTGGCGGTGCCGATGCCACGCGCGTTGCGCTGCGCCGCGATCTCGCTCGAGCTCGGCCTGTCCAGCCGATGGAGGTTCTGGTCGCTCGTGGCGTGGCGGCTGGCGCTGCCCGAGGAGGAGGTGGGCGAGGCGGCAGGGGACGAGGAGGAGGACGGACGCGGCCCAGGGGAGCGGGCCGGGGTTCCTGAGGCGAGCGGGATGCGCGAGCCGCCAGCCTTTCGAGACCGGTCCATCGCGCAGGGCGAGATCGTCGGCCCCTCCACCGCAGCGGCCGTGACTGCAACCGCGAGCGAGACCGCAAGCGTCGTCACCGCCGCCGCCACTGTCGGCGGCGGCGGCGAGCTGTGGGCTACGTTTGGTGTGCTTCGGAGCGCAGTGGCGGTGCGCGCCGATCGGTTGGCGCGGTTGGCGGAGCAGATGGCGGCGGCGGCGGCGGCGGGCGGCGGCGGCGACAGCGGCGGCCTGTCGACGGCGCGCCGCGCCGCGCACCAGCTAATTGGCGCTGGCTCCTACGCGGGCGGCTCGGACTTGCTGCTCGGCCACAGCGGTGCGGAGGAGTCCGACTGGCTGCTCGGAGTCGTCGCTGCAGGCAGCCCGCCATTGCGGTTGCGGTCTGTGTCGAGGGCCGCCCCATCGAACCACAAGCGGTGCTGCAACACCCGTAGGCGCGGTCTCGAGAGAGGCGGCCGCCGCAGCGGCGCACCGTGCGGCGGGTCGGATGCTCGAGGCGGGAAAGCTGACGGAGGCCGTCGCGTTACTGTGTGCCGCCGGCCTCGGCGGCGCCGCCGCTGAGCAGCTGCAGCTCCGCGGGAAATGGGAGGAGGCGGCGGCGCTCGCGCAGGTGCCCGCCCCTGACGCTCTCGTCGCACTGGCCGTCCCATCATCCACGGCGCCTGCCCCCCCCGCTCGCGCAGGCGTGCTTGTCGCCCAAGGAGCGGGCGGGCGCCCTCCGCCGCTGGGCGGACTACTTGCGCTCGCGGGGCGAGGGCGCACGCTCAGTGGAGGTGCTGCTCTCCCTCGGCTGCTTTGACGAGGAGCGCGCAGCCCCCCCCCGCCCCCCGCCCGCCCGCCCGCCACGCCTCTGCTCCACACCTCGCGGCGCGAGTAGGCCGCCACGCGGCTCGTCGAGCTCGGCGCCTATGAGCTGGCTGCTCTGCTCGTGCGAGCCGTCGGCGAGGCGCGCCCGCATCAGCGCTCCACGAAGGGCGCCCAGGCTAATGGAGGCGGCGGCGGCGGCGGCGGCGGCGGCGGCGGCGGCGGCGGCGGCAGTAGTAGCGCCGGCGTGGCGCAGCGGAGCTACCTCGAGTACAGCGCGGCGCTCGCGCGCCTCGGCCTACCGTCGCTCGCACGCGAGTACATCGAGTTGGCCGCTAGCGAGGGGGTCGGCACGCCGAGCGCAATCTCGGCCGCCGAGGCGGAGACGATGCACGAGCAGTATGTGTCGATGCAGAAGCGGCTCGAGGAGTTGCGTTGATGGCCCGACACAGCTCGTTCCCGTCCGCCCCGGCACCCCGAAAGCGAGAGCTCTCCCCTCGGGATGGTTGAGCGTGTGGTGCCCCTCGGATCAAATGGCAGTACGTGTACGTTCGCACTCGTGGAGCTCACAGTACACAGAGTAGTATGTGCAACGATATTGACTCAGATCTCTGACGTACCTACATATACGCCTACCCTAAGTTTCTCCGAGACCTCGCGAGCGGGGCCGGCTATTCACAGCTGGGCAGTGTGGTCTGGGCCGGGCAGGGCAGTGTGGGTTTCACACCCGGGGTAGGTAGGGGATCGGACAGGGCAGTTGTGCGGCACTGTGCGGGCAGGGCAGTAGGGCAGGGCAGGGCAGGGCAGTTGGGGTCATAATTGCAGGGCTGAGATTCGGGATCTCAGGTGGTGAAAAAAAAGGGGAGACAATTGCTGTGACATGGAATTTGAATAACAATCTGAATGAGATGTGTGAAGAGGACGGCCGACCGACGAATTACACGCGCGAGCTGGCGAGCTCATCTGCATCTCAATCAAATCTCAGGGGATATACCCAAGATATACCCCCCCACACAGCTCCTCTCCTCCATGGCTTCTGCCTTCTCCACGGTGCTCGCCGGCCCAAACCACGCTTGCTCCCGGCCCCTCACTCGCTCGGACGCACCCTGACGCCCACCCGACTCGCGCGCGCCGAAGACGAGACCTCTCTCCGCGCGCCCGGCCCTCCTCGCCTGCGGTGCACAGCGACTGTCCCCAGACGCCAACATATCGAGCCGCCCGGGCCTCCGATTCGCGCAACCGCTCTCCCCGCCGGGCACAGCCCCTCACGGCACCCACACGCCCTAGCTCAGCACGCGCTACCACCCGCTCACCGCCCGGCCGGCCCTCCTCGCCTGCGGCTTTGGCCTCCTCTGCGCGCTTCTGCCAACCCACTCCCTGACCGTGCGCGCGCAGGGCATCGACGAGTGGAAGTCCCCCTCCCCGCTCCGCAAGGGCGAGTCCAACCTGGTCGACCGCTCCAAGACGACCACCAAGAACCTCACCCCGATCGGCCGCGTCGACCCCAACGGGTTCGCGGAGCTGCTCGGAACGGACGTCGACGAGGAAGACGAAGACGTCGCTGGCGAACCCGTTGGTGGCAAGGCGGCGTCCAAGGCGACCCGCGGATCCACGCCGTCGGCCACAAACTCGGTGCTAGCCGCCTGCACGTGCAGTTTCGGCCCCCTGCTCGCCGCTCACAGCCAGTCTCGCGCCCCTGTTCAGGGCGCGACGGTCAAGCCCAAGACCCCCAAGACGGTCAAGACGGTCGACCCCAAGACGACCACGACTTCCACGCCGAAGGGCTCCGTCTCCGCCTCTGGCTGGCTCTCGTGGCCCAAGCTCTGCTGGCCGAAGGTGCTCTGCATCATCTGCACCTGCCTCATCGCCGCGAGCGGCGGCGCCTTCGCCTACTTCTCGCACGGCTCCGACGGGCTTCTCCCTTCAGTTGTTGTGCCCGTTTCGGCTGCGCCCGGGTTCGAACGTCACGCCGGCTTCTGCGACGTAAACGGCGGCAAGTGCCAGGAGGAGTACAGGGGCTTCGGCGAGAGCGCCGAACTGTGTGAGCAGCGCTGCCTGGAGTTCCCAGCTGGCGCCAGGGCCTGCACTGCCGTCGAGTACTGGCTCCTCACGAAGCGCTTGCCGATGTGCAAGCTGTTCACATGCGAGGGCGACATCACGCGCGCGTTGAAGGCGCCGGCGAACAACGTCGAGTGCCTCGTCAAGACCGAGAGTTCGAACGTGGCATTGCGCTCGAGCTTTGGTGGTGCCGGCGGCGGCGCCTCGCCCTCCCCGCCGCCGCCACCCTGTCCTCCAGCGCAGCTGCCGCGTCAGCAGACTGGCTGCCGGTATCGGACGTCGCGTCGTCGTAGTCCGTGTTCCAGAACTGCGTGGCATTGCACTGCGGGTCGAGGTCCACGATCAGAACCTTCTTGCCCTGCTTCGCAAACGCGGCTGACAGGTTGATCGTAATGGTCGTCTTGGACGCGCCGCCCTTGTAGTTGTAGACGCAAACCTTGACCGTCATCTGCGAGGCGCGCGCGCACACGACCCGCCAAGGCTGCCGGCACCAACTTGATTCGCGGATGCGCGTCCACCGGCGGAGGTATGTGGGGTGCCGAATGCGAACGGGGGTGCTGGATGCGTTGGGCGACCCGACGGGCGTTGTTGTTCATAGATAGGTTGATAAGAAACAAGAAGCTCACATCGCACAGACAGTGAGAGCCCCCACCTGTCCCCCCTGATCGTTCTTCCAAAATCCTTGCTCGGGCAGGTGGGGACCCTGTCCTCGTCCCATCCCTCGTTTGGCGGGTCTGTTTTCTTTCTTTCCTTCCGAGGGCGTGAAAAGCCGAACCTAAGGATTTCTTACCTCCTCCCGTGGAGTTGTCAACTAAAACCCGCCTGTCTTTCCCCGCCCGGGAAAATTTTCCTTTTTTCTCCCCTTTTTTGCCCGCCCGTGGGGGTCCTTCCCAGTCTTTCCTTTTGAAAACCGGTTCCGGCTCTTTCGCTTTCCCGCC